AACCTAAGGTGGATAAAAGCTGCACACAGATTGTATAAAATGCGACAGAAAATAAGTGCCATCAGAGAAAAGCAGAGACAGAGCTAAGGGAGTTCAGGGAGGCAAAGCTGCCAAGTTTCATGATCCTAACCTCCGAAACGTGTCCCATTTTCTTGAGTGTCCACTGTAACAGCTACTATGTATAAACTATGATGAAATCTTTGAAGGTACAATAAAAAGGACCTAGAGAAGCTATTAATACTTGAGCATTTATTGGTCATGTAGTAAGATTAATTAAATTTAAATAATATTTATCTCACTTGAAATACTGTTACTCCTCTTTTCTGACAAACCATGTTCGTCATTTCTTTGAAAACATTGTTAAAGTCTAATCCTTAATGAAATCAGTGCCTCTCACAGTACCTTGTCCTAATGGGTACTTAAGAATATATATTCCTGTGGGTGAAGACTTGCTTAGTTAAGCAAGCCTTTAGCATTCATGTACATTTGAACCTAAGCTTCATTATATCATTCTTAATAGCTATTCTCTGTTGCCTTCATCATACTTAACCTGTCCTTCCATTCATTTGTTCACTTAATTATTTGACAAACACTGTTTTAGAAGTAGTAATCTGGGTTGATGCTTTTATTTCTTTATAACTTGAGCAATTTATTGAATGGTGGTATGACTCACCAAAATGGAAACCATAGAATGAAGGGTAACTGGAGAGCAAATGATTGATAAGTTCAAATATTGAGTTTGAGTTTGAGGTGCCGTTTGATATCCAGGTGAAGGGATGCATCAGGAAGCTGGATATATCGGTGTGGAGAGAGAAGGATGGGACAGGGCGGGGGCGTGGGAGGGGAGCCCAGCTAATTATAGAAGATTTGAGAGTCATCAGGCACGAAGGTAGTAGTTAAAGACATGGAAAGGTGTTCTTCACCTGAGTGGTAAGGACCCACAGGGAGTCACCGGCTGCTTCAGGATGTCCAGGTAATCCTAAAATTATACACAACAAGCCCTCCCACAGGGTGCATTTTATCACCTTCTGCAAGGGGTTGGTGACTCCAAAAAAGCTAAGAATGAGGGTGAAAACAGAAGGTTCAGAAAGGAACACGGGGGTTCTCCCATATTTAAGAAGTGAAAAAAATAGCAAAGAAAAATGAGAACATTTAAAAAGAGTCGTGGAAGTCAAAGGATTGCTACGTTTCATGGAGGGAGTGTCCTATAGAGTCCTACGTGGCAGAAAGGTGAAATGAGATACAGGACATTTCAGTCCTTATCTTTCTTGCCAGGTCCCTCAGGAGTGTTCTGTGTGCCGTGGACACTTAGTAAATGTTGACAGTATTACATTGAACCATATGAGAGCAGTGAAAGAAAAATTAATAGAATGATATGCCAGTGGCAGGTTTGATTAGGTTTGCTGTCACATTAAGAAACACATCAGAAATTAGATAGTTAACATATTATGAGCTTGTTTTATAAAGTCTCTTATAAGTGGTGAGTTGAATCAGTCTGCCAAAAAACTAGAGCCAGCTTTATATACAGACAAACAACCCCTTCCATGGAGTGGATGAAAAGGTAGTGTCTCTGTGTACTTCACTGTCCTCCTGCTATATTACAGTGCCTGAAAAACCAATTATTCTGGGAGCATGTGAATGTTTGCTGTATTATGTTACCTTGGAGGTGAGCTAAAAACATTAGTTGGCTAAAATGTTTGCACAAACACTATTAGCACACTACTCTTGTGGATTGTTAGCTTGAGGTTAACATAATGACTTTTCATTTGCAACTGTTTTAAGTTTATGAAGATTTCATAAACACTGTATCATGTCATTTAATACTGAGTCTCCACCCTAGCAAATAGTTGTAGAAGCCTTTCTTCTAAGTTAAAGAAAAAAAAGCCCTATGTCTTTTAAGGATATAGTCTCATATAGTATAAAGATGGTTAAAAATAATAGACAAGTAGTTCAAATGATAGTAATGTTGATGCTAAACCCTTTTATTAATTATGATATAAGCCAAGGGGCTGAGAGAATGAGATACCAAATACAATGGTTTATACAAGACTGAAAGCTGTTTCTCAGAGGGTTTGAAGACTGGAGAGAGCAGTGTCGAAGCATATATTACCATATGTAAAATGGATAGCCAGTGGGAATTTGCTGTATGTGGCAGGAAAACCAAAGCCATCTGTGACAACCTGGAGGGGTGGGATGGGATGGAAGGAGGGAAAGAGGTTTAAGAGGGAAAGGGACGTGTGTATGCCTGTGGCTGAGTCATCTTGATATATGGCAGAAACTGTCACTGTATTGTAAAGTAATTATCCTCCAATTAAAAATAAAATAAAACTTTTTTATAAAAGAAATATAATTTTCCACTTTCTCACACTTTAAGTATATACTCATCTGTAACCAAGTGAGTTAATAGTACTATAATATTTTAGATAAAAATACCAAGTGAATAAAGTTTAAAGTAGCATGTTAAAAAAAAAGAAGAAGAAAGTTATTCCTCTCACAGGTAATATTCAGAAGCAAGTGGGTAATTCAGGGCACCTGATGGGCAGTTCTACTCTATGAAGTCATTCTGGAACTCAGGTTGCTATTCTATCCCTGATAGGCATATCTATGATAAAAGCTGGTTTACCAGCATCACATAAGCCTTCCAGCCCCCTGAAGGAGAAAGAGAGAGGAGGGCAAGCAGTTTCATAAAGGATGTGATCAGGCAGGTGAACTTACCACTTATGTTCACATCTCATTGAAAAGGAGTTATTCAGTTGGTCACACCGAGCTGCAAGGAAGGCTGAGATTTTTAGCCTCTAACTGAGCAGCTGTGTGACCAGCTTAAACTCAGGAGATTCTCTTCCTGGACAGAAGAGAATATCAAATATTGGGAGACACTTGGCCATCTGTGCCAAACTCTTGCTTTGGTGTTCTTACAGTCATGATTATACTTATAGATGCCAAGAGAGTCCATGGATTCCTAAAATGGGTTAACTCTTGAAAAATCCTGCTTTAGTTTTAATTTTGCTTATTGTATGTAGTTTATCAAATCTTCAAATACTGTAAATAAATTATAGAATCTCCTTGGAGAAGTGTTAAAAAATAGATTATTTTGACTGAGCCCTGGAGGAATTTTGCTTACAGAGGTAGCCCAGTTTATCTTTCAGTTCAGTTCAGTCGCTCAGTCATGTCTGACTCTTTCGGACCCCGTGGACCGCAGCACAACAGGCCTCCATGTCCATCCCCAACTCCTGGAGTTTATGCAAACTCATGTCCATTGAGTCGGTGATGCCATCCAACCATCATCCTCTGTTGTCCCCTTCTCCTCCCGCCCTCAATCTTTCCCAGCATCAGGGTCTGTTCAAATGAGTCAGTTCTTCACATCAGATGGCCAAAGTATTAGAGTTTCAGCTTCAACATCAGTCTTTCCAATGAGTATTCAGGACTGGTCTCCTTTGGGATGGACTGGTTTGATCTCCTTGCAGTCCAAGGGACTCTCAAGAGTCTTCTCCAACACCACAGTTCAAAAGCATCAATTCTTCGGCGCCCAACTTTCTTTATGGTTCAACTCTCACATCCATACATGACTACTGGAAAAACCATAGCTTTGACTAGACAGACCTTTGTTGGCAAAGTAATGTCTCTGCTTTTTAATTTGCTGTCTAGGTTGATCATAACTTTTCTTCCAAGGAGCAAGCAAGTTTATCTTTATGACTTTCCTTATCCTGTCTCATCTGCATAAGATGCATAGAGATGGTGTTGTTACTGGAAATACTGCAAGGCAGCTTCCCTTGAGAGTACTTAAATCCCATGGTGAGAAGAGGAGCAGCTAGTAAACAGTAAAAGCTATCATGTCTTTAATTGCAGTTGCTCCTGGAATAAAAGAATTAAATATGGTAGGATTAACATGAAAGCACTGGAGGGCTGTTATTTACTGCTTTACTTTTGAAGGGTGGGTCTGTTGGAAGTTGATTTTGAAAAAGTTGGTGGTTTGCAAAATTATTTACTTAATATTAGGTTTTGGTGAGAAAGCAGGGAAATTACGAGAGTAGTCACCCAAGGACATGTGAATGTATACCAGTCAATCAGAAGTGTTTTCCCAATACTTCCATTTCCCAACACTTGCATTTATGAAGTTCCTTTTTCTAGCTCCCAGAAATCTGACTGGTGATTTCATTAACAGCAAATTCTAGAACTGTGCTGTTCAACATGGTAGCCAGTAGCCACACGTGGCTGTTGAGGACTCAAAATGTGGTTAGTCCATAAATGTACACCCTGGATCTCAAAGACCTGTTATGAAAAAATAATGTAGACTATCTGATGACTGTTTAATATTGATTCCATGTTTAAATGATGGTATTTTAAATATACTGGGTTAAATAAAATATAACAAAATACAATATTACAAACACTGATTTGACCTGTTTTTATGTTTTTAATGTGAGTAATAGAAAAATTTTAATTATATTATGATTCATATCATGTTGCTATTGACCAATGATGATTTAGAAGCTAAGGGAGAGGATAGATAATCTCTTTTTCCGGGCTTGAATTGACTTTTCCTATGGCACATTGTCTTAATCCAAAGGTTATAGAGTTTTATACCAACAGCCTCTCCACCCTATACTCTCTCATACTCCAAATCACTGATACTCCAAATCACTGATAATATATCCCAGGGTCATTGGCCATGGGTTGAAAATTTCTAACAGTGGCTGTGTTACAGCTCTGCGTGATGATCCTTTCTGGCTCATGGACAATTCTAACTATCAGAAACTCTTTCTTCACAGTGAGAAGAATGTTAGCTCTCTGTACTTTCAGCTTCTTCTAAGATTTTCTCTTTTAGAATAATTAAAATAAATCTAATCTTTCTTGCCATATGAGTCTTCCCATTTAATTAATTTAAATAGTATGAGGTACTGTATGCATGCATGCATGCTCAGTCACTAAGTCATGTCTGACTCTTTTGCGACCCTATAGACTGTAGCCCACCAGACTCCTCTGTCCATGGAATTTTCCAGGCAAGAATACTGGAGTGGGTTGCCAGTTCCTCCTCCACCGGATCTTCCCGACCCAGGAATTGAACTCACAACTTTGGTGTCTCCTGCACTGGCAAGTAGATTCTTTACTACTGAGCCACCTTGGAAGCCCAAGGTATTATGTAAGTAATGTACACAATATCATGTGCCCTTCATCTGCCTGCTCAAGTCGACTCCTCCCCAGGGCAAACAGAACAATTCCTGTTTCCTGTACTTGTTTGACACATTCTCATTTGTTAATAGAAGTTCTTTTATCAGAACAGGCAGTCTCTACAGATACAAGTTTGTGCAGGAAAGCAAGAGTCATTATAAGATAAAAATATGAACTGACCTCTAAAAAAGTTCGCCTACACCAACTTCATTTTCAACTTAACACTCTTGTCTCTAGAACACAATAGTTTCTTCCAAAACAAGTGATTTAAATACCAAAGGGTTGTGAAGCACCAGGAGAAAATTGCTGAAGCCTTCAAAGAATTTTTATGATGGTGTAGCAAAATTCATATAATCTGAATTGTCTCTCATACTCTCAAACAATTTTTTTGGTCAGGAAAGTTTTTTTCAAAAAAAAAAACACCGAGCTTGTGTGATAGGTTGAAAAACATGGCCCAAATGTTAGATTAATGAATGAATTAGGAAATACCTAGGATCATAAATTTTCATCCTGGAAAATATAATACTATATTTTCTTGAAATCCTGCATTTTTTTCTCAACTCTACATCCTTTATTTTTGAGAAGAAAAATCCCAAATTATTACCCTTTTATCCCTTCCCTTTTGCAGCCCTCTGTGTTTTTAAGTACTGTATGATACCTTACAAGACCTTTGTAGTGGTTTGAATGGTGGCCCCCAAGAGATATCTGCAAAGACCTTTATCCAAATAAACTCACATTCATAGGTTACAGGGGTGAGGATTTGGGTGTTTCTCTTGGGTTCCACCATTCAAGCAACTACAGAGACTTTGTAAGATATCATACGATACTTAAAAACATAGAGGGCTGCAAAAGGGAAAGGATGAAAGGGTAATATTTTGGGATTTTTCTTCTCAAAGGATACAGAGTTGAGGGGAAAAAATGTAGGATTTCACGAAAATACAGTATTCGATTTTTCAGGATGAAAATTTCCATTCCTGGATATCTTTGATAGGTTCTAAAGCCAATGACAAGAGTTCTTAGAAGAAACAGAAGAGAAGACACAGAGAAAGCCACATGAAGACTGAAACGGAGATTGGAGTTGTGCAGCCACAAGCCAAAGAATGCCTGGAGCCACCAGAAGCTGGAAGAAGCAGTGGAGGCTTTGCCCTTAGAAGCTTCAGAGGGGGCATCACCTGTGGACACCTTGGTTTTGCACTTCTGGCTTCCACAACTGAGAGAAAATACATTTCTGTCACTTTAAGCCACTAAATTGCTGCTGCTGCTGCTAAGTCGCTTCAGTCGTGTCCAACTCTGTGTGACCCCATAGACAGCAGCCCAATAGGCTCCTGCATCCCTGGGTTTCTCCAGGCAAGAACACTGGAGTGGGTTGCCATTTCCTTCTCCAATGCATGAAAGTGAAAAGTGAAAGTGAAGTTGCTCAGTCATGTCCGACTCTTAGCGACCCCATGGACCGCAGCCCACCAGGCTCCTCCGTCCATGGGATTTTCCAGGCAAGAGTGCTGGAGTGGGCTGCCAGTGCCTTCTCCAAGCCACCAAGTTAGTGGTAACTAATTACATCAGCCTTAGGACCCTATTTACAGGTGGCGCAATGGTAAAGAATCCACCTGCCAGTGCAGGAGACGCAGAGATGTGGATTCGATCCTTGGGTTGGGAAGATCCCCCGGAGGAGGGCATGCAATCCACTGAAGTATTATTGCCTGGAGAATCCCACAGACAGAGGAGTCTGGTGGGCTATAGTCCATGGGGGCACATAGAGTCGTACGTGACTGAGCAACTATACACACTACTTCACATGGCCTTGCCTGTGATTGTTGTTCAGTCGCTCAGTCATATCTGACTCTCCGACCCCATGGACTGCAGCACACCAGGCTTCCCTGTCCTCCATCTCATGGAGCTTACTCAAACTCATGTCCATCAAGTCAGACATGCCATCTAACCACTCATTCTCTGTCGACCCCTTCTCCTCCTGCCTTCAGTCTTTCCCAGCATCAGGGTCTTTTCTAATGAGTCGGCTCTTTGCATCAGGTGGCCAAAATATTGGGGCTTCAAAATCAGTCCTTCCAATGAATATTCAGTATTGATTTCCTTTGGGATTGACTGGTTTGATCTGTTTGCATTCCAAGGGACTCTCAAGGGTCTTCTCCAATACCACGGTTCAAAAGCATCAGTTCTTCGGCACTCAACCTTCTTTATAAGGTCCAACTCTTACATCCAGTTCTGGAGAAGGGAATGGCAAGCCACTCCAGAATTCCTGCCTGGAAAATCCCATGGACAGAGGAGCCTGGTGGGACAGAGGAGTCCATGGGATGGCAAAGAGTCAGACATGACTAAGCAGCTAACACTTTCACTTTCATATCCATACTTGACTACTGGAAAAACCATAGCCTTGACTATACAGACCTTTGTTGGCAAAGTAATGTCTCTGCTTTTTAATACTATGTCTAGGTTTGTCATAGCTTTTCTTCCAAGGAGCAAGCATCTTTTAATTTCATGACTGCAATCACTGCAGTGATTTTGGAGCCCAACAAAATAAAGTCTGTCATTATTTCCATTGTCTTCCCATCTATTTGCCATGAAGTGCTGGGACCAGATGCCATGATCTTAGTTTTTTGAATGTTGAGTTTTAAGCCAGCTTTTTCACTCTCCTCTTTCACCTTCATCAAGAGGCTCTATAGTTCCTCTTCGCTTTCTGCCATAAGGATGGTGTCATCTGCATATCTGAGGTTATCAATATTTCTCCCAGCAATCTTGATTCCAATTTTGCTTCATCCAGCCTGGCACTTCTCAGGATGTACTCTGCATATAAGTTAAATAAGCAGGGTGACAATATACAGCCTTGACGTGCTCCTTTCCCAATTTGGAACCAGTCCATTGTTCCATGTCCAGTTCTAACTGTTGCTTTTTGATCTACATACAGATTTCTCAGGAGGCAGGTAAGGTGATCTGGTATTCCCATCTCTTGAAGAATTTTCCACAATTTGTTGTGATCCACACAGTCAAAGGCTTCAGCGTAGTCAATGAAGCAGAAGTAGATGTTTTTCAGGAATTCTCTTGCTTTTTCTAGGATCCAATGGATGCTGGCAATTCTGGTCTCTGGTTCTTCTGCCTTTTCTAAATCCAGCTTGAACATCTGGAAGTTCTCAGTTCAGGTACTGTTGAAGCCTGACTTGGAGAATTTTGAGCATTACTTTGCTAGCATGTGAGATGAGTGCAGTTGTGCAGTAGTTTGAACATTCTTTGCCATTGCTTGTGATAAAAAAAGCCTTAATTTATAAACTAGCTGAGGAGAGGGGACGGAGATAGTCAACTTTCAATCTTCATTTTTGGCCCAGGGAGCCAATATACTTTTTCTTGGTATCAAAGTTGGACACAAGTAATATGTCAAATTATTCAGACCTAAACCATAATCCGTACTCTGACATTATCTTGATAATTTAAGCAAGTTATTTTCTTTCTTTGGGTCTAAGTTTGCCTCTTCCTACAATTAAAATAGTAAATTAGATCAGGATATCCCAAATGGGTATCTTGAAGAATTCTGTTTTGAAGGCTATAAATGAGTATACCGCCTCCCCCCAACAATACCCTTACCCAGAGCCAGGGAATGGGGGTGGACTGTGTTCAAATAAATTTAGGAAGCTCTGGGCCAGATACGTGCTATGTCACATTATCCCCTGGCTATAGCTGATTTTTTTTTTTAATTTTTATTGGAGTATGTTGCCTTACAATGTTGTGTTAGTTTCTACCAAACAGCAATGTGAATCAACTATACGTATACATATGTCCTGTCTTTTGTATTTCCTTCTGATTCAAGTCACCACAGAACACTGAGTGGAGCTCCTTGTGCAGTAGAGTATGTTCTCATTATTACAGTGAGCTTCCCACATGGCGCAGGGGTAAAGATTCTGCCTGCCACTATAGGAGACACAAGAGACGCAGGTTCGATCCCTGCACTGGGAATATCCAGGGACTGGACTAATGTTCTCATTATTTATCCATTTTATGAAAGTGAAAGTGCAAGTTGCTCAGTCATGTCCGACTCTTTGCAACCCCATGGACTGTACAGTCCATGGAATTCTTCAGGCCAAAATACTGGACTGGGTAACCTTTCCCTTCTTCAGGGGATCTTCCCAACCCAGGGATTGAACCCAGGTCTCCCACATTGCAGGTGGATTCTTTGCCAGCTGAGCCACAAGGGAAGCCCAGGAATACTGGAGTGGGCAGCCTATCCCTTCTCCAGCGGATCTTCCCGACCCAGGAATCCAACCGGAGTCTCCTGCATTGCAGGCAGATTCTTTATGAACTGAGCTCTCAAGGAAGCCCGATATCCATTTTATACATAGTGTCAATAGTATATATGTCAATCACAATCACAATCACAATCTCCCAATTCATCCCAACCAAGGATCCCCATTGGTATACATAACGTTTCGTATATTAACACATGTATGTGGAATCCAAAAAATTTGGTATAGACAAACTTATTTACAAAGCAGAAATAGAGGTGCAGATGTCATGATAGGCATTTATGCAAACTGGGCCTCACAGTGTCTCTCTCCCGGGAATTTGGAATTGAGATTCAGAGTTATAGTCTTTGCTAGTTCCTAGAAATGAGGATAAATAAACTTGGGGCAGTTAGTTAGCTACAGTACTGCCTATGTAAGAAAAGTGGAGAAAGCTACTCTGTAGAGAGATGATAATAGAGCAGATGAGCAAAGAAGCAAAATGGGAGACCGGGTAACCTCAGAGATGGAGCAGTTGTCTCCTGATAGATTTGGGGTTCTTCATTTCCAGTGAGATACTTCTGTAACCATAAAATCAACTCTCTTCTTTTTTGCCTAGGCTAGTTTGAGTAGGTTTGAATTTTGTTACTTGTATCTAAATTAGCCTTTACCTAAAACAGGAAGGTTAGCACTTGTAACTGTTGCCCAGTCCTGTCCAACTCTTTGTGACCCCATGGACTCTAGCCCACCA